ATGACAGTTACTGGCTATGTGCCCCGGTTTGCCACACCGGTGATATAAAATTTCATTTATCTCCTGACGTTCACCAAATGGTCTGTATACAGATCGTTGGTGCGGAAATTGTCTTCGAGGCCCTGTGTTAATGGAAAAATTCGTCGATCTAGAGCCTACATACTGTCTGTGTTTTTCCCGCAATACATTTCTAATGCGGAGTCCTAATGCTTCTTCATTGGGTTCGTTCCGAAGCCTCATTTTGGTTTCCTCCATGTACAACCTGCTTGCTAAACTTGCAAGCGATGGAGTCTCCTTCTCGTTTTGCAGCATTCTTACAAAAGTCTCGTATTTCATGGGTAGGTTCTTAAGGATTTTATGTACAATCACGGTGTTGGATGGTAACTCGTTGATTTCCCTAAGGTCATTCAGTAAGTCGTACACAATTTTCATGAATTCTGACACTACCATATCCTCCTTCATTTTCAAATTCTCCCAACTATCGAGTGTGTTCATTACATCCGCTATGGTGTGTGTAGAATATACTCAAGCTAAAATTTTCTATGCAACAGCTGAGTCAGAAGTGTTGAATACGTATGATTTTACCATATCGGTCAAGGATAGTCGAAGAAATCCCATTGCCCTCGTCTTCCTCTTATGGATGAGTTTTTTATCCTAAAATGTTGTTGTCCCTGAATTGAGGCGACTGGGTTCTTCCGCACTTCTTTCTTTGCTTCCTCCTTCCTCATGTTCCGTCGTGGTTGTCTCTGAAGTTGAGTCACTGTAAATTGACGTTGAGCTTCGCGGTGATGTATTCATCGAAGCAACCACTTCCCACAAATCTTCCCTCTCCAGCACACTTTGGATGGTGCTCCTCCAAGATTTATAATTCTTTGGTCCTGCCAACATTCTCGATTGCAAAATAATTGAGTCCATCATTCCCATTCCTGTATTTATGCTCTTTCGCGGTTCTCACTTGCACTGACACTGCATGCGTCGCTACTCGCTCTCTCCCTTAGTTCACTCTGATACCATGTTCGCTGGAGCATCACTGACCAACTAATAATCATTGCACGACAAAGAGAATCACACAGTGATATATACAAAAGCTCGGTAATTTGAACATCAGATTAACACCATTACAGGCCCGCTGAGTAGGTGCCTATTACAATAATAGCCTGCGAATCTTACAGTCGCAGGGTCTTACACACCAAAGCAATACCTGGTTGGAGTGTATACCCTAGTCCTAGATTGATACCTAGATCAATATCAATATAGGCCGCAGGGCGTCTCATCAAACAGTTACGACGGTAGGCCATGGCTACAAAGAACTTCGCATCCAATATACATAGAATCGAACGGAGCTCTAGCTGGAGCACACACTTCTCAACTGGACCACCAATGTGCCCAACAATCCCTGTCTTGTGGAGAAGATGGATATGTTTCCATTGCCACATTCCATTCCCATTTCCAAAAAACTAAAAGTATAGCTGGCGCTCAGGGCCGTAAGCACTGGAACCATCAAACACTACGGCAAAAGACGAGACTATTAAAGGCAAATGTTGACAGTTTGGGTGGGTAAAGTTACGAAGAAACAGGTGTTTCGCATTCGTTACATGGAATACAACTTGAGGCAATACACCTCAGATCCCTCCAAGCTTGGCCCCAATCTCATCTGATATATGAAAAAAGGTTATCCAAGCCTCGATTCTCTTGTGCTCTCATACATGCCGCAAGTTGTACCTCCATCCACACAAGCACATTGATGTGATGCTTTTTTTTGCTATTTCTTGTTTCTGTTGCCGAAGTACCCTCCCTTTCAAAAGAACATAAAGCTGTTATTAGACTCCACCTATCTTATGGCCATTGTCAAGACCAGTCTGCAACGACCTCATCAGGAAAAAGGAATGACAAACTCACTTTACACAGCTTCAAAAGGAGATGTGGCTTTCCGAGCTCATCTCTGTGCGAGGAGCTGCATCCACTCCCCGTTGCTGAGTTGTCACTTTTCTCTCTTGTTTTGGAGTACCTGGATTAAAGCAATGTAGCTTGCCATAGCAAGTGCTGGAAAGAGCAGTTGGGTGGCAGCACAAAGCTGGGATCTTGGAAACTCATTTAATGTCAGAATACCTCAAACCGTCAACTTAAGTTTTCCAGCTATCTCGGGAGGGGGGAGGGAAAAAAATTGGTGGAGAAATAAGGTTCTGATATGCTACAAAGGGAAAAATCACAAAAGGAGTAGTGGTTTAATTGATATAAAATTTCAAAGGGTTTTTACACTATGACTCCCTAAACCAACTCATACACTTGGCCAAAATTGCCCATTAAAATACATTAAACCACCACCTCAATCAAACTAAACCACCAACTTCATTGTAAAGTTTGCCAATAGTTGATGGATTTGGAACAGACTTAAAATCTTTCAACATGAAGAATGATTATTTTTGGATTTGTGCAAAGGCAACTTCTGATAAAGTATACAAGATGGTTTAGGGGCATGACATGGTTTAAAGTAATTCAATACTAGTTCTATTAAAGAATTGGGTGTGAGTGCCAAATTAAAATTACACATTAGTAGAATACTTTGAACTAATGTGTAGTGTGTTTAGATTGCTTTGGTGGGTTGGTATGGATTAGAAGCTAGTGAGGAGGGGATATTCAAGTTTTTGAGTTTAATTTTGTGAATATTTGATCAAAATGTTTGTGATAATTTGATAAGAAATAACATAATATGTTGTTTTTTGAAAATTTGATATTATAGTAAAATGAGATAACAAGAAATAAGAGAGAGAGACTATGGTTTAGTCAAGCAAAGACCTTATAATAAATAGAAGTTGAAATTGTCCTTAGAAAGTAAAAAAATAAATATTATAAATTCTTTGATATTAATCTAAGATTTAAAAAAGATAGAAAGAGCTCCAATGATCTAAGACAATAAAATTGTTGAAAATTTATTTTTTTGAAAAATTAACAATAAAGATGTTGATGCAATAAAGATGCTTGAAAGGAAGTAGACTTCTTGTAGTTCTAATAAAGAGAGGGTTTCGACAATATAATCAAACAAACAAGCAAAAAAAAGCATCAAGTTTACAAAAATCAACTTAAAAGAGTACATAATAATAATAATAGATACTCTTGCCAAAAAAAAAAAAAAAAAAAAAAATGTTTATAAAAAACATGGATACAAGCATGATCCAAAATCATTTTAAAAGGTAACTACTTTAAACTTAGGAATCATTTAAATTCAAAATTATAATCACAACTCTTTCCAATGATTTGGCATGAATTTAAATTATAAAATCGAAATAAAAAAAATATGTGTAAATAGAGAAAGAATTAAATTAAGAAACACATTGTCTTTTGTTATAAGAAGTTGGTTTATTCAAAGACTTAATTTAATTTATTATTATTATTTTTTATTAATTAACTTAAGTATTATTATTTTTTTCATCAGCTTAGAATACATCCCAAAGTTAAAATTTCTCTTAAATGGCCAAAATTGTAATTATTACCTTTACTTAAGAAAAATAAGAAGTAAATTGAGTTTTAAAAGAAATAAAGTTTAAAATGTAGAAATAACAAAATTTTATGAATCTTTTATAATATATAACTATAATAATTTACGAATAGTATTAGAAAATACTTTTCTATACTATTATAGTATAAAACCTAAATGTGATTATAGTATCAAATTCTTATAATAAAATTAGTAAACCAAGTAAATAAATATCTATTTATGTAAGAATTTTTAGTTTAAATTTCAGTATATTAAATGTTTTAAACAGGAAAGCATATTAATTTTTTAAGTAAAATTATGTATGGTTGAAAAAACGTTGTTTTAAGAAAGTAGCTTGCTTATTTATGGCAATTTGGATCTAAAAACGTTGTTACATTTCTACTAACTTTATCAATTTTGTTTGAATTCTCATCGTATAATTCTGAACTTTTTAATTATAGAATAATATAAAAAATAATATCAATTTAAATATAGATGATCTTTATCCTTAAAAAATTCCATGATAATCAAAGAATTTTTTTCCCTTTAGATCATGCTTTCGATGAGGCTAAATTGCAGCATTAATTTCATTAGGATTTATATAATAAAAAAAACTAAATATGTCTAATTTTGTGGATAGATTTTTATAATTTTTTTAAATGATAAAAAAAAGTTACACTGCAATATTATATGATTTTTAAGAACTAAATTTAGACGATATAATTTTCTGAAGCATAAGATTAAAAAAATAAAAGAAAAAACTTGCTAAATTTTAAAATAATATTAGCACTTTTTTATGTATGTATTACTTGTGAGGCCATAAATTCAATTCCTAAGTTTTATATAACTTGCCACCTAAGTTAATATAAGATCTGTCTTAGGAAAAATTCACAAAAATATTTACGGTTTATTTAACATATATTTTTTTTAAAAAAATACTTATTAGCTACAAATCATCAAAGTAATATTCTATATATATATATATATATATATATATATATGTTGATAAATTTAATTTTAATGATACTTTTTTAAATAATCTCAATAAGTATTATAGTTTTTTAACATACATAATACTAAAACTATTTTTCTTAAATTATTATATTATTTAATATTTACATATTAATATACATATTTATTTTTTTGTTGAGAAGGTTGTTGATTGGTGTACGATAATTCAAAATAAGAAGTTTTGAAAAAAAAACCTTGACTATCAAAACGTAGTTAATTTTTTTAAAAAATCTCTTGTTCGAAGTCTAAAACTAAAATTTTCTTAAACATTTTTGAGGATAACATGAAATAAGTGCAAATTCTAAATTCAGCTAGCACGTAATCAAGCAAATAAACAACAGTTTGAGTTTGCCACACTGCGATGTTCCTCACGTATGGGAACAAAAAAGTGAAAAAGTACGCCGCATGGGAACGAGTTCTCTACACCGCGGAGATACGTGTGGCCACCTTGAAGTCGGAGGGAAGACGGTGATGCGATTTGCGGTGATATGACCGCGTGCAGAGTCCGGGTCTGGTGGGCGTGGACGCACAATGTGGGGGAGTTGCAAAGGCTTCCCCGCATCAGAGCTCTGCATTCTTTTAGGGTTTTCTACAATTCAATTTCCAAGGGATTGAAGAGAGTTTTGTCATGCTGATGGCGGGGCAGCTCTGACGCAGCCTGCCCTGTGTCGCACCAACAGGAGCCTTGGGGTTTTTGTAGTTGCTTTGTAACAAGGCGGATCGGTGCACAAGCTGAAAGCTCGTGAAAAGGAGGTTCAGTCTGCGAGGGTTTGAAGAATAGGATTGGGAAGAGGCGAGCGGGAAGAGAATGGGGTGTAGAGGACGTCAGACAGCGAAGCTGCTACAGGAGGCAGCTACTCCCTTGTTTCAGAGCCGCTTGAGGCAAGTAGGGGCTTCGGATGCAGCTTTACCTGTGACGTCGCATCTGCTTCGCCATCATCATCATCAAACTGCGGAGAAGGAATCAGATGGGAAAAGTCCATTGCGAAGCGCGCTGGGCAGTATTCGCCATTCCACGAGCGCTGCCCTAGCTTCGAACAGAGTGAAACCCGTGAAGCCGGAGGTGGAGACAATTGAAGTGAGCGTGGATGGACAGTCAGTGCTAGTGCCGAAGGGCATGACTGTGCTGCAGGCGTGTGAGCTGGGAGGGGTGACCATTCCTAGGTTTTGCTATCACAGTCGTCTCTCCATAGCAGGGAATTGCCGCATGTGTCTGGTTGAGGTCGAGAAGACTCCCAAGCCTGTGGCCTCATGTGCCATGCCTGCTTTGCCAGGTCTGATTCCATTAGTTAGTAACCCTCTTTTCTCAGTTGCAAGCTGTTTGACATACAATTCGTGCGGTTCTTATAACTTGGGGTGTGTCTAAAAGCGGGATACTAAGAGGTCGAATGGCTGAATTGCGTATAGGTATGAAAATTAAGACCGGTACACCTCTGGCTAAGAAAGCAAGGGAGGGAGTGATGGAGTTTTTGTTGATGAACCATCCATTGGATTGCCCGATTTGCGATCAGGGTGGAGAATGTGATCTTCAAGATCAATCTATGGTGTTTGGTTCTGATCGTGGCCGCTTTATCGACACAAAAAGATCTGTCTTAGATAAGAATCTCGGACCCCTCGTGAAGACCATTATGACAAGATGCATTCAATGTACCAGGTCAGTCGTTTTGGTTAGGAAGATTTCTGGTAGTACGTCCTTTTATCCATCCATGGAGTGAACTGTGTTACAAGTTTGCAAGAACTACGATCAAGTTTATTTATTTATTTATTTATTTATTTATCACAGAGGTCTTTTGAATCATTAGTTTGCTGAAAGACTCCACATTATGTTCAGGTGGCTATCCAAGCGTGTTAGGAATGAACAATAGCTACTTTTCATGTTCTGGAGGACGTCAAATTTTCTTTTGGGCTGGATTGAAAGTGTGGAATCCTGAGGGATTTTAGATAGCTCTTTCTGGAAGTGTGACTAATAGTTTCGCGACTATCTGTGCCTTAGCATTTTTATTGTATAGCAAAGCTAGCATCATGGTATGGGTGAAATGCTGCAATTCATTGAATTTATGTAATTGAGCCCTGTTGTAGGTGTGTGAGGTTTGCAAAGGAGATTGCTGGCGTGGAGGATCTGGGTGTACTAGGACGTGGAGGAAGTGAAGAGATTGGAACATATGTCGAGAACTTGATGACCAGCGAGTTATCAGGCAATGTAATTGATGTCTGCCCTGTTGGTGCATTGACATCTAAACCATACGCATTCACAGCACGACCGTGGGAGCTTAAGGCGACTGAGAGTATTGACGTTTTGGATGCCGTTGGGTCGAACATCCGGATTAACAGCCGTGGGCCGGAAGTGATGCGGATCATTCCTCGGCTTCATGAGGTCTCTTTCGTAGCCACTATTTATTGGTTCTTTTATGTAAACCATGGACTCGGGGCATTCCATTCCCAAGTTTTGCAGTAGGATTGATCAATTCATCATTTTTTGGTCTGAGAGTGTGACAGCCACTTCGAACTGGTGGTGTCTTTGCCAGTGTTGATGTCTTACAACAGTATAAACTTATTAGTATTAATATTTCCTTACTCGCTGACTTTGGTTCAGGATATTAATGAGGAGTGGATTGGAGATAAAGCAAGATTCAGTTATGATGGGCTCAAGCGTCAACGATTAAGTGAGCCAATGATTCGCCGTCCTGATGGTCAGTTACAGGCAGCTTCTTGGAAAGATGCTCTTGAAGCTATTGCTGAAGCAGCTTATAAAGTGAAACCTGAGGAAATGGCAGGCGTAGCTGGCAAGCTGGCCGATGCAGAGTCCATGTTGGCACTGAAGGATTTTCTTAATAGAATGGGTTGTGAGCGCCTCTGGGCTGAAGGAGATGGCACTTCTCCGGACGCTGACTTGAGATCAAGATTCTTGCTTAACACTGGCATTGCTGCTCTTGAGCAGGCAGACGTTTGTCTCTTGGTTGGAACTCAGGTAACTCAGCCCTGGCTTCTTAGACTTGAATTCACTTCTTAAACCTCCTTCGTTTTAGGAAACTCGCTGTTTCTTCTACAAGTGGTACTGTACCTACGGAATGTGTACCGTGCCTCAGTTTTGTTCGCTAATTGCTGATGTGATCGCAGATTCGGTGGGAGGCACCTATGGTCAATGCGAGGCTGAGAAAAGCAGTAAGGTTCAACAAGACGAAGGTAGCTGTTGTAGGTCCTGAGGTTGATTTGACCTATCCACACCAGCACCTAGGTGTTAGTACTGACACACTTTTGGAGATTGCGGAAGGAAGACATCCATTTTGTGCAGAGTTGGCATCGGCGGAAAGGCCTGTGGTCATTGTAGGTAGTGGAGCATTGGAACGCTCAGATAAGGCTGCGATTATGTCCGCATTGGATATCATTGCGCAGCAAAGTGCTCTAATTCGAGACGACTGGTTTGGAGCTAATGTTCTGCTTTTGAACGCTTCTCAAGCAGCAGCACGAGATCTTGGATTTGTGCCAGGTGCAAGGGCAGGAAAAGCACAGGCAAAATTCTTGTATCTTTTGGGAGCTGATGATTTGACTCCTGCAGATATCCCGGAAGATGCTTTTGTGGTGTACCAAGGCCATCATGGTGATCGCAGCGCGTACAGAGCAAACGTGATCCTTCCTTGTACAGCATATACAGAGAAGGAAGGTACATACGAAAATGTTGAAGGACGGGCGCAGCAAACAAGCCCAGCCGTACCCACCGTAGGGGATGCTCGTGATGACTGGAAAATCATTCGTGCTCTTTCAGAAATTGCAGGGAAGACGCTCCCATATGATACTGCAAATGGTTTAAGAGCTCGGATGCTTGCAGTGGCTCCAAATTTGTTGCGAATCGATGAAATTGAGTTGGTCACAGGTTGGTCACTTGATCTCAACACAAGACCAACTACTGCCTTAGAAACATCTCCTCTCCCGAAGGCCATTGAGAATTATTACATGACTGATTCAATTTCTCGCGCCTCGAGAACAATGGCACAATGCACTGCTACTCTTGCAAAGCGCCAAGCAGCAGCAGGATAATAGGGGATTATGCTGATCATGTGAATTTTCTCTGTAATAAAAGTGTCAGGCAAAGGACACCATTCGTACTCAAATTTATCGTCTTCTTGAATTGTTTTTTTTGCCGATTTGGTTCTCTTGTATATTTTGATGAATTTATCAAGTATCTTGAGCTAGATACCCCAGCCTCCTGATGGTTTGTATTTTGTGATGTTATATTTTAGTTGGTTGGGACAAAGATTCATTGCAAAATCCTCCAAACCCAATCGGCAGATCTTAGGGAGGAGTTGCTATAACCGTTTTGCGTTTAGTTTTTTTCCTCCGTGCTTATATACGTTTACCAGATTGGTAACAACGAAACTGCCTGGATTATTTCTTCGATACACTGGTGAAGGACAATCCGATAAATCTTAGAGAAATCTCAAAGAAATCCGAAGCCCAAGCATTAACGCATTAGCATCACACAAAGAAGGAATACTAAAACAATCACACATGATTTAGACGATTCCTGGCCTAATTGTCAAAATTCAAAAAGAACCAGTAGTAGTTTGAACATAAGATGTGAGAAAGAGGCTTTCCGAGGGTTTTGGACGAGGTGCTGGCAACGCGGAGTTGGAGAGCCAGCCATACCTCCGATATTGTTGTGTGTGCAAGGGCAACAGCGGTATTCAGAACCATCTGTAGAAGCTGTCGAACGACGAGGCCTTAACCCAAGAGAGTGCGACGGTGACGCCAAATAGGCTTACCTTCGCAGGTTAGGAAGTGCGGAACTCGAGCCCTAATCTAAGTAATCCAAATTGTGCGATGTGATAATCGAAACGCCGCGAACATAACACAACACTTACAGATGATACAATTCCAACCCTAATAATCAGAAAAGAATGTTACCGTAAACACACACTTGCTCGGAAGCTCTAAACCCTAAACCTAAATGACTGTAGAAATTAGGATTCAACATCGGGTAAGTTCTGCTCGACACGGATCACCGGGAACAGTAACGATGAAAGAGTCAATAACAAACTGGACAACCGCAAATACTTCAACTACAAAAGATTCGCAATCTCTGCCTTCAGTTTTGAGCTTCGGAGTGAGAAGTTAGTGTCCTTTCGACAGTCGAAGTGCGACGCCCTAGACTGTCCTGTCTAGAAATGAGGAGGATCTAGATTGGTGTCATTCTTGAACGGGAGATGTCTTATATGTTATATAAAAATAGAAACAAAAGTAGTTGACACCAAGATAGAATATCCGTAATAGTCTAGATGGTTAGGATAACTGGCTTTCACCCAGTCGACCCGGGTTCGAGTCCCGGTTACGGAGGAAAGGGATTTGAGTCTGTGGATGAGTGTCTGACTGTAGATCTGAATGTCACGCCTTTTGAAACATGGTATTAGTGTCTTTGATCGAAAGAAGTTTTTATTGTTATATGTATCACAAGTATGGACATTATCAAGGTTGGACAATTTTGTCAATTGTTGTTTAGAGATTTATATTATTGATGCATTTACAACCTCTTTTTTTTTTTCTTTCAATCTAAGCTGTAATCAATTAACTATATTATTATGCTTTATTTAGTTATTTTTTGGTGTGTTTCTTAATCTTTGTTATATAGTATTTAAAATTTTAATTGAAGTATATAATTATATTTTAAAAATTAATATTTTAATTACTGAACATATAAACACAAGATTCAAATTAATGCATTCTAAATGTAATAACTAAAAGTATTTTGTTTTAAAAAATATATTATCTTGTATCAAAAACATCTATATTACATTGGTTGAGGACATGATTATATGCATACATTTTGAGAACATATCATATTTATATATAACTCAACTTGAGAAAAGAATATTAAGAAGGATAAATTTATAATATGAGAATATACTTGAATGGTTTTTTGCAAGTACAAAGAACTAAAGAGTCTTGAACATAGTCTAAAGTCTAAGCAAGGCATATACAAAAATAAAGATGACCTCAATCTTGTCGTTTTGTTTATTGTTTATGAAAAAGGCCATATGAAAGCTCCTTGAAGAGTGTTGAGAGCATTAAATGTAGCTGGCGCTCTCCATGCTATTTACTATAGTCTATAGTATTTACTATAGCTGTAGTATTTGAAATATAGTGGAAAGAAATTGTTCATCTTCTTCCATTCTCTTTGTATAAGAAAAAAAATCCTATTAATAAACTCACTTCTTATGTGTATGTATTTACATATGTGTGCATATTACTTCTACTTATTCCCGTCTCTCTTTCTCTAAAACATTCTCTCACATTATCACCATGATTGCTCTTATGCTCTAATCTTGGTTCTTAAAAACTTATGTGCATTTTATCCTTTGTTTTCTCTTCATTTTTTTTATTTTTTTATTTTTTTCTTTCCCTTCTTCTTGTACTATTGCTATCGTGTGTTGTTGTTACTGTTGTGCTACTGCTACCATTGCTATCATGTATTGCGCTACTATTGCTGTGCTATACTGCTACTGCTGTGCTATTATATTACCGCACCCCCTGCGGACTACTACAAATTGTCGCCAAACTGTTGTACCTTATTGCTAGACTATTGCCAACTACCACATCCTACTGCCAAACTATAAGTCAGCCACGCATTGTAGCCATTTGCCACACCTTGCTGCCAAATTCTTGCAGTCCATTGTAGATCCTTATTTTTTATTTTTTTATTTTTTTATTTTTATTTAAAAAAAACTTCTAATTTATTTTTAATATTTTTGATTTTAAGTTTTAACTTTATCATTTTATTTGGCTTTATATTTTAAGGTGCATTTTATTCAACCTTTTCTACTTGAACTTATATTTTTAATTCATAAATTTATTTATAATCAGTGCTTCAACATCTTCAACTACCTCTACTATGTTTCCAACTATCTATCAAGGATATGAATTGAAAGAAGATGCATAAACCTAAAAAATCTATGTTAAAAAAATAATGATTAAATAGCAATAAAGTAGTATGTATATTAAAAAGAAACTTGAATGGCTATTGCCAAAAGACAAGAAAACAAGATACTCTTAAATCTAGACTAGAAACAAGAAAAGAGTTGATAAGAGTGAAGAAGGCTTCACTCTTTCCTTTATATATACTATCTAATTAGGAGCTATATAGTAATATTCTATAGGATCTCTAATATGTGTTGATTTTGCAGGACACATGCTTTAGCTTATAAGGCAAGTTTTTTATGTTTGGGCTATATAATTAGTTTGTTTTTTTCAAGCTACCAACATGTGTGGCACATGGCCAACTGGTTGATTACGTTTTTAACCTAAAAAGTCAATTATAGATACTTATTAAGTTAAAGTAATATTTATGAAGCTTCTAAAAAGCTTCTATAGAAGATATTATAGAATTAATATACTTTCATCTACTTTTATCTAATCATATAAGTAATTATTGGTTTATATATATATGTCCATGACATTATCTTCCCTTCAAGGGACAAGTTCCATAAGGTGCTGTCATCATATATTGAGGAAATCCAAGATACGACGAATTGTATTTGCTACATACTTTGATCTTTGTTCTCTTCAAAGATGGTTGATAGGACCTCAACCATCAATAGTGTCCCATACCAGGGTGGGAAGACCACCCAATTATTTAATTATTGTTAAGGCCTTCATAACTTTCTTCAAATAAAATATTTGAAATACTATCAAGAATTGTTCTTATCTTTAGTAAAATCATCAAACAATGGGAGTCCCTTCTAAGGTCGTAATACCAAACACGTTGTATCTCACCATCTATTCAAGGAAGAACATGTCATTCTTAAAGAACTTCATCTTGATTGCATCCTTTTGAAAGTTGTGACAATTACAATGTGTCACTTGATAAGTCAACAAACGAAGGTTCTTGAGTCAAATTTGTTGGTAGTTGGTTCTCTATTTCTTTAATATCATAAATATATAGAAACCACAAACAAAAATAGAAGATAGAATGCAATCTTTCTTAGACCTTGTTTCTTTTATAGAAAAAATTTATTATTTTTTATCTTGATTTTGATAGATGTTGTCAATAAAAAGCCTCTATTTCTTTTCTTATATTTGCAAGATTCTTTATTGAATCCCATGTATGTTCACTAATATTATATCAGTGCCAATGGATAAGATATTTCAATTTATTTTGGTGCCGCCTTGAGTCTAAAACTTCTTTCACTTTGAACTCTTCATTATTATCTATTTCTGTAGGAGGAAGTGGAGGTTGTCTTCTTCTTGGTATGTTTATAGTCTTGTATGGTTCAAGAAGAGATATGTGGAAGAAATGATGGATCTTCATTGACTCCAATAGATGTAATCAATAAGTAACTCGATTGATTTGCCTTCAAATATAAAAAAATCCATGCGTATGGTAGTCCAATTTATCACAAGGATGAATAGTCTTAATATTACAATAAAGTAACTATACCTTGTCACCTACATTAAATTGTGGTTGTTCTTTTTAATAAGTATCATCATTAATCTTTTGTTGTTCTTGAACTTTTTTTAATTGCACCTTCATTCTTGCATGTAGCTTTAATAAAAGATTTGTTAAACCTTTTGCCATAGGATTATCAACTTTTAAAAAGTCAAAAATATCAAATTGTAGATGGTAACCATAATTGATAAAGAAAGATATTTGTTGCATAGAAGAATGTATTATATTATTATAAGTAAACTTTGCCAATGGTAAGATAGTTCTACAATCATCTTGTTCATAATTGATTGTACATCTTAAGTATTATTCTAAAAAAAGCTATATGTCTATCAACGACACAAACTTGAAGAAGATAAATAAACTTGTGGAATCCATATTAAAAGAAAACTGATAAAATAGAAGAAAATATGTATATTCAAGGAAGAATTGGAATGACTATTGTTAAAGACTAGAGAACATAAGACTCTTGAAACTAGACTAAAAGTAAAAAAAGAGTTGATAAGAGTGAAAAATGCCTTATTCTTGCTTTTATATATACTACTTAATTAAGAACCATGTGTCGACATGCTATAAGACCTCTAATATGCATCCAACTTGGAAGATACATGTCTAATTTTCAAGGTAAGTTTTCTATATGTGTACCATATGTCCAACTTGTACTACAAGTGGTCA